TCTCCGGCCTCAGCCTCCTGAGTAGCTGGGATTTAAAATTCAGCTACCACACCTGGCTAATTTTTTTATTTTTAGTAGAGATGGGTTTTCGCCATGTTGGCCAGGCTGGTCTTGAACTCCTGAGCTGAAATGATCTACCCATCCCAGCCTCCCAAAGTGCTGGTGTTACAGGCGTGAGCCACCGTGTCTGGCCCTCTTCCCTTAATTTATTTCTCTTTTTATCACTTATCACCACCTGGCCTGTTCTATATTTACTTGCTTTTTAAAAATCTGCCCTCCCCTCTTGAATGTAAGCTCCCTGAGGGAAGGGATTTTGTCTCTTTTGTTTATTTGCTGTAATCCACCTCTTGGCATACAGTTCCTGGACATTCAAAAACCAGCCCCTGTGTGTAGGAAGGATATGGCAAGTCATGGCCATCCCAGAGCTGTGTCCCTGGAGTTCTCCCCACTCCAGGTTGAGCCCCAGGAAATTTTGTGGGTGTAAATTCTGCTGTTAGGTCCATGTGCACCTGCTGTGTTCAGCTGGCATGACCTCCTTCCCTCCCCTTCACCCCCTCCCATTGATGCTTTATAAGTGTATTAGTGGCTGCATGATGTCACCGTAATGCATTTTGGGAATAGCCATGTGGTTTATACACACTTGAGTTGCTTTGAATGCAAACCTGACATCATAGTGAAGGCAGCAGTGAGCAACATATGCACAGTAAACAGGCAGAGACTGTCTTATTGATTAACAGATGAGGCCTCTATTATCGATCAAAGCTTGGCGAGGAAATTTATCACTTTTAATTTCAGGGCTGCCAAATATTTCTGCCTCTGAGCCAGCCATTACAGAGACAATTTAAAGGCACAAGCCTCCTTGGGAGAGAGGATTTCGTCTGTCTCGCCCTGCTCCACTCACGTGTCCGTGGAACTACCTGTCTTTGGTCTCACCCTGGAGGGTTGGGGGGAAGTCAGAGCCTGTCTGGGTGGGCGTGGGAGTATTGGGGCTTCATGAGTGGGGGCTAACAATGGGAACTGACATTTGTGTTATCCACGTGTAAGGAGGGATCTGGCCCAGAGTCACTGAGGACAGGGACTTTCACATACTCAGCTCAGTGTCGTGACTTCAGTGAGGTGGGGGTGGAGTGGCGGGACTTTGAAGGCAAGCAGATGTGGTCAGGCCTGGACCAAGGGAGCGCCTTTACTAGATCGTGTGTGCTTATCTGTCTTCATCTTCCTCTGCACTTGTCTGATGGTACACATCCGGCCCTTTATTTCCTACCTGGCCTCCTTCCTTTCTCTCTGCTTCTCAGTCATTAAAGCGAGAAGCTGCTCTAGCCCACAGTGATGGCTGTTTTCTAAGAACCCTCCATACCACATCCCTTGGAAGCCTGCGGCATGGCGGGCTTCTCGCCGATTGCAGGTCTTCAGTGTGGGAGCCCACAGGACGCCCTCGCCTTCCCAGCCGGTGCCTCCCTCCTCGGGTCTTTGCGTCCCCTTTCTCCTTTAGAGAGCTGTGAGAGCAAACAGAACACAAGGAAGAAATACAATTAAAATCAGATTTCTTACACATCTACAGAAAATCATTGATGGCGAATGATTTGGGACTGGAGGCAGTTTCTAATTGTGAGGAAGCTGTGATTCACCCAGCCCCAGCTTTCCCATCTGGGCCCACTCTGCTCTTGGAAGGTCTTTCTGCATTTCCAGTATAAATGGATGAAAGGTAGCCTTGGCTGCTACCCCTGTGAACACACGTCATGACTGCTTTGCAGTTTTCTTGGCTCTTCAAAGTTCTCTAAGCCACGTACGAGGTGCTTGGCCTGAGGATGTTCTGTGGCTTGAAGGGATACCCAGAGGTCACCATGGGATTCTTCCGGCCTCCAGGTCAAATTCAACCCCAGCCACCTAAGGCAAATGACAATATTTATTTATTTATTTATTTATTTATATTTTTTGAGATGGAGTCTCACCCTGTTGCCCAGGCTGGAGTGCAATGGCGTGACCTTGGCTCACTGCAACCTCTGCCTCCTGGTTCAAGCAATTCTCCTGCTTCAGCCTCCTGAGTAGCTGGGATCACAGGCATGTACCACCACGCCCAGCTAATTTTTCCTATCTTTAGTAGAGAAGGAGTTTCAGCCTGTTGGCAAGGCTGATCTCAAACTCTTGACCTCAGGTTATCCACCCACCTCAGCCTCCCAAAGTGCTGGAATTACAAGCATGAGCCATCGTGCCTGGCCCAACAGTAATTATTTTTAAAGCTCTTCAGGAAAAGTGAGTTCATATCCTCCCTGGGGTACTTTATTACCCACATACCTGGCCAGTCGACTCACATTTGTTGAGCACCTACTAGAGTATATCCTGCTCATCAGTAGAAAGATAGGTATCAGTGAGATAAAGAAAGTCAATACCCCCGAAGGACCTCACATTCTAGACCTCCTCCAGGGTCTTCATATTCTTCACTGCAAGAAATGCTCATTGGTATTTAAGTCTGTGCTGGAACCACTTGTATTTGGAGTTACATTCCTTAAAAGTATGTGCTGATTCTCCAAGGCAGAGGTTTTCAAATTTGTAGGAAAGTATTGGAATTGTTTTTCTAACCCCCAAACCCTGATGCATAAAATAGATAAATTGAATTTTCTTTCAGAGAAGGGAGCTCAGACCCCACCCATGGGTTCTTACCCATGAAACATCTTTGCAGATGGAACCCTAGGGAGGCCGAAGGGTATGGGGGTTACGAGTGAAGGCTCTGAAATCAGGCTGCCTATGTTTGGATTCACGTTTACCGTATTACTCACTGTGTGGTGTTGGGCAAAGTGCTTAACCTCTCTGAGCTTGAATTTACTCCTCTGCTACGTGGGGGTGATGATAGCATGTACTGTAAATGGTGGTTGTTAGGATGAACCAAATGTTACATATTAAGCATCTTGCATCATACCTGGTATATAGTCAAGCCTCAGGAAATCTGAGGTGATTTGAAAACAGCACGGTGGGTTACAGATATATGTAAAAGTAGTTCTGGCTCTTAGGAGGCTCTAATACAAAACTAAAACACAGGCATATTTAAAGAAGAGCTAAGATGACCAGACACAGTGGCTCACACCTGGAACCCCCAGCACTTGGGGAGAACGAGGTAGGAGGATTGTTTGAGCTCAGGAGCTCGAGACCAACCTGGGAAACATAGTGAGACCTCATCTCTTAAAAAAATAAAAATAAAAACAGAATTAGGTGGGTGTGGTGGCCTGCGTCTATAGGCCTAGCTACTCAGGAGGCTGAAGTGGGAGGATCACTTGAACCCAGGAGGTTGAGGCTGCTGTGAGCTATGATTGCACCACTGCACTCTGGCCTGGGTGACAGACGGAGACCTTGTCTCAAAAGTAACAACAAAATGCTAAGACATGTTGAAAGGAACAGAGTGGAGTGGCAGATAGGAAAGGACAGAAGAGCAAGGGGCTGGAGTGCTTGATGTCCACAAACTCTGCTCTCGAAAATGGAGTGGAGGAATGGGACTGGGCATTGCTCAGGCACCGAGACTCAGGGAAGTTAGGCAGCACCCAGAGAGGGCTGGTGAGGACCTCTTACCTGTGGAGTTGGTTGGCTAACCGAGACAGGTTATGGAAGGCCTTGAAGCCAAGTAGAGGAATTCAGAGTCCGTCCAAATTGGGAGCCATTGTATCTTCTTGAGTAAGAAAGTGTGAGGAATCAAGTGGCCTTGAAGGAACCTGCATCTGTTGAGTAGTTTGCAGGTGGCTGGTGGTGTGGAAACACCCTTGTGTCTTACAGTGTTCTGAGTGTCATGCAGCAAGAGCCTGAACGGGGCGATGATGATCAAAATGCAATGGAAGAGCGCATCTAGGAGACATCTTGAAGGAAAAATGCCAAGGCTTGTGACAGGTGACCCCTGGATCAGATAATGTAGTAGAGCTATGAAGACTATTAGCCAATGATAAAAAGTACTGTTTCATCTTGACATGGTGGCATTATCACTTTAAGCCTTCTAAATAACAGGTCTGAAAAAGTTTATTAAATTGAGTGGCACTGAATTAATTTTATTTATTCTGCAAATATGTATAGTAATAGGTTTCCACTGTGTGTCAGGCAGATGCAGCTGTGCACAAGATGACACAGTCCCTCTGCCAGGGAGCTTATGGTGTGGCGAGGGAGAAGGACAGGGCCACAGGCATTTAGAATGGAACCCAGTAAGGGCCAGGAGCTGGAATATACCAGGTGCTGTGGGAGCATAAAGGAGAGTCGCCGTACCTACCCACAGGGCCCCAGGTATTGGAGCCGATGCATGAATGATGAGTAGGAGCCCCAACTGCACCGTAGCAGCCAGGGAAGCGTGGGAGAACTTCAGAGGCAGAAGACGTGCAGAAGAATGTGCACAGGCTAGAGAAAAGAGAGCAAGCGTGAGGTGTGAGAGATGAAGCAGGAAAGAGGAGCACACCCAGAAGTGCTTTGTGAGTCATGATAAGATGCTTGGACCTTGTTCTCCAGGCACTGGGGAGCCATTCAGGGGTTTTACATGGTCAGCTGGAGACAGCAGTTGGGGGTAGATGATGAATTTAGTGTTTGACACACTGAGTCAGAGGCCCCCATGGACATCCAGGTTGAGGTATGTCAGCAATTCTTACCTTCCTATAAAGTACAGTCTAGGCAACAGGGCACATTTCCCTGCATTGGCATCATTTTTCTCCTGTCCTCCCATCACCTGGAGGTAACTCTTCAGATCCCCCTCCTTCTTGGGGTATCTCACGTGGACCCGATTTCTGTTTATCTTGGTTATTCTGATTTTGTTTCTCCTTCTCTCTTGAAGAGCCCTAGACAAGGGTGTTTGGAGCTCAGTTGGATGAGTGTTCACCTCTTGGAGGAGGGTCTGAGCCATGGATAATCCCTCACTCAGGATTTTTGCAGGTGTCCAGTCCCCTCCCCTAGTATCCACCTGCACAGTTGTGGCCCAGGACCTCCCCCCTCACCAATGGACTATTGCTCTAGTGGTAACTGCCTCTCCTTTCTTTCAGCGGGTGCCAAAGCCTTTGTCTGTGATCAGTGCGGTGCACAGTTTTCGAAGGAGGATGCCCTGGAGACACACAGACAGACCCATACTGGTGAGTTGACTTGGATTTCTATTCTCTAGGTTTTCTACAATGTTGGTGGCACATGAACATAAACTATCTGGGTGGCAACCTCTTTTTAGCAAATGTGACATTCAGTCATTTCCTGGGGGAGCTGTGAGTAGGATGGGCTTCTGGCACATTCAGCTACTCTTGTCTGAGGGGCTTGCCCAGCAGGAGTTTATAAGTATGGCATGGCCCCATGAGAATGGCTGTCCTAGATTAGGCCTGGATCTGCCTCTAACGGGCCACTGAGATCCTTCTTGGAGGTATCCAGTATGCTCTTGTTGAGACCTTAGTCTGTGATATTATCAAAATGTCTTCTTCCCGTAATCAGAAAATCTCTCACACCCCATCTGATGAAACTGAAACCCTCGCGTGGCCATGGTGGGCTGGTCCTCCCTCTGTGAGAGTTGAGACGTTGTCTAAAATCAGTCTGTACACACGATGCATTTGAACGATATTAATTCACAATGACAGAGCTTTATTTGATTTCAAAGGGATTGATTTCACCACACCGAAGTCATCTGATCATCGTGATCAGCACTGTTGTCATCACATCATCACGGCAGCTCACACTTACTGAACACTCACAATGAGGCAGGCACTGTTCTCAGTGCTTTGCGTCAGGGGTCCCCAACCCTGGGGTCATGGACTGGTGTCCATGGTGGCCTGTTGGGAACCAGGCTGCATGGCAGGAGGTGAGTGGTGGGTGAACCAGCAAAGCTGTATGTATAGCTGTATGTACAGCTGCTCCCATTGCACACATTGGCACCTGAGCTCCGCCTTGTGTCAGATCATCAGCAGCATCAGATTCTCATAGCGCAAACCCTGTTGTGAACTCTGCATGCGAGGGATCTGGGTTGTGTACTCCTTATGAGAATCTAATGCCTGATGATCTGTCACTGTCTCTCGTCACCCCCAGATGGGACCATCTAGTTGCAGGAAAACAAGCTCAGGGCTCCCACTAATTCTACATTACGGTAACTTATATTATTAGCTCATGATATATTACAATGTAATAATAGAAATAAAGTGTACAATAAATGTAATGTGCTTAAATCATCCCAGAACCACCCTCCTGCACCCCGCCATATGTGAAAAAGTTGTCTTCCATGAAACTGGTCCCTGGTGACAAAAAGGTTGGGGACCACTGCTTTATGTGATCCCACCTGGCTAGTCTCTCATTAACCCTGTAAGGTAAGATAGGAGGCTACTCTTATGTCATAGATGAGGAAACTGAGGCTCAAAAGAAAGGGGCTTGCTGGAGTTGGTAATGGGGACAGCTGTGGTAGAGACTTGTAGTTCACAGCTGAGACTGCATGGGTTTAATCTCTACTCCACAACTTCCTATTTGTGGGTCCATGGATAAATTATTTAAACTTTCTTAATGTAGATTTCGCATCTGTTAGAAGAGTGGAGTAATATTGGTGTCTACCTCATAGCATAGGGTTGTTGTGGGGATGAAATAAGATATTTTATTTGAAATATTTCATGGAGTGTTTGGCTCACAGTAAGTACTCAGTAAATAGTAGTAGGTATATTTGATGCAATAGATATTTATTGAGTTTCTGCAATGTGCCTGGCACTGTTTAGGCATTTAAGATGCGGTAGTGTATGAGACAAATGACATTTCTGCCCCCCATGGAACTGAGATTGTAGCTGGGAGACAGAAACAGCAAGTAAGTGCACGATATCATGTCTGGTTATATATAGTAGGTCCTACTAAGGAAAGGATAAGGAGTAGAGAATAATAGGGAGAAAGAAATATTGTGGATAAATATTATGGATATTTAGGGAGAGATGGATAAAATGGTTAGGGAAGAAGGTGGTGTCTGAGCAGAGTCTTAAAAAGTGAGGGAGTTGGGAGGCCAAGGCGGGTAGATCACTTGAGGCCAGGAGTTCGAGACCAGCCTGGCCCACATGGTGAATCCCTGTCTCTTAAAAAAAAAAAAAAAAAAAAAAAAATTAGCCAGGCTTAGTGGTGCATGCCTGTATCCCAGCTACTCGGGAAGCTGAGACAGGAGAATCGCTTGAACCCAGGACTTGGAGATTGCAGTGAGCCAAGATCATGCCATTACACTCCAGCCTGGGTGGCAGAGCGAGACCTCATCTCAAAAAAAAAAAAAAAAAAAAAAAAAAAAAAAGTGAGGGAGTGAGCCATTCAAAAATTTCTGGAAAGAATGTCTAAGCAAAGGGAGCAAGCACTTGCAGAAGCCCCGAGGCTGGGTCAAGCCTGCCAAGTTTAAGAACCCACATGCAGAGCAGTGTGGCTAGAGAGCAGGAAGTGACTTGTAGAGAGTCAGGAGGGATGAGGGTGGGATCTGGCAAGTCTCTCAGCCCTGGTAAAAGATCTGGATTTTATTCTGCATGTGCTAAGAGTCCTTTAGAAGGTAAGAAAATATTTGCAAATCTTATTTTTGATGAGGAACTTATAGCTAGAAATAGAGGTCATATAATTCAAAAAAGCATTCAAATAATCAAATAGTAGGTAAAGGTTCTGAGCAGACTTATCTCCAAAGACAGACAACTAGCCAATGAGCACCTGAAGAAGATGCTCAACTGCATTTGCCATCAGGGAGATGCAAATCAAAACCACAGTGAGATACTGCTTCATGCCCACTAAAATGTGGCTGCAATAAAAATACAGATAGTAACAAGTGTTATCAAAGATGTGGAAAAACCAGAACTCTCATATTATGCTGGTGGGAGTGTAAATGGTGCAGCCACTTTGGAAAACAGTCTGGCAGTTCCTCAAGAGGTTAAGCATAGAATTATCATGTGACACAGCAGTTCCTCTCCTAGGTATGCAGTCAAGAGAACTGTGAAGATATGCTCACGTGAGAATCTGTACATGAATATCTACAGCAGCATTATTCATAATGACCAAAACCTGGAAACAACCCAATGTCTATCAGCCGATGAGTGGATAAGCAAAGTGTGGCATATTCATACCATGACATACTATTTGGCCCTAAAAAGGAATGAAATACTGATATATACTATAACATAGATGAACTTGAATATGCTCCGTGAAAGCAGCCAGTTGCAAAATGATTCCGTTCATGTGAAATATCTAGAATAGGCAAATCTATAGAGACAAAAAGTAAATTAGTAGTTGGCAGGGGCTGGAGAAGCTGTGGGGAAATGGACAGTGACTGCTGATGGAATGGAGTTTCTTTTTGGAGTGATGAAAATGTTCTAAAATTCATTGTGGTGATGATTACACAGTTTTGCATACCAAGGCTTCTCGACTTACAGTAGGGCTGTGTCCTGATAAACCCATCATAAGCTGAAAAGATAATACATCAGAAATGCATTTAATACAACTAACATCATAGCTTAGTCCAGCCTGCCTTGAATGTGCTCAGAACACTTATATTAGCCTACAGTTAGGCAAAATCATTTAATATAAAACCTAGGTTATAATAAAAGTGTTGAAGATCTCATGGAATTTATTATATCCTGTACATTACTTCAAAATTGTGATGGTTTCCCACAATTATAAAGTTGAAAAATCGTAAGTCAGTGACCATTCTATGTATTCATTGAACTATATACTTTAAAAAGCATGAATTTCATATTGTATGATATATTAGATCTCCAAAAAGCGGCATGGGTATGTACATGTGTATAAATGATCTCTGCCAGTGTCAGGAAGAGTCACTGGTTTCACTCATGCTACCTCTTTCTATATATACACATACATGCACAAACAGAATGATGTGCTGTGTATTAAGCGGTTCTTGCATCGCTGTAAAGAAATACCTAAGACTGGGTAGTTTACAGAAGGGTTTAATTGGCTCACAGATCTGTAGGCTTTCCAGGAAGCATGATGCTGGCATCTGTTCAGGCTCTGGGGAGGCCTCAGGAAGCTTACAATCATGTGGAAGGAAAAGGGGGAGCAGGCATGTCACATGGCCAGAGCAGGAGCTAGAGAGAGAGAGTTGGACGAGGGGAAAGCTGCTGCATACTTTTAGATGACCAGATCTCTAAGAGAACTCACTCATTGTCATGAGAATAGGATGGTGCTAAACCACTCAGGAGAAACCGACCCCCATGATCCAGTCACCTCCCACCAGGCTTTACCTCCAACGTTGAGACTTACCCTTCAACATGAGATTTGGGCAGACAAATATCCAAACTATATCACATCATATAATGACATTTTGGTCAACAATGGATTGCATATATGACAGTGGTCCCGTAAGATTATAATACTGTATTTTTACTGTGCCTCTTCTACATTTACGTGTGTTTAGATACATAAGTACTTACCACAGTGTTATAATTGCCTGCAGTGTTTAGTACAGTAGCATGCTGTAAAGATTTGTAGCCTAGGGACAGTAGGCTATACCATATAACCTAAGTGCTTAGAAGACTGTACCATCTAGGCTGGTGCAGATGTGCTCTGTGATACAGCCTAGAAGCTGCGCACTAGGAAGTGGAGAGCTGAAACTTGACCCAGCTCACGTGCTCTTTCCATGACTCCCTAGCTGCTTGCGTATTGAGTGTTGTCTGTGAGCTCACTGCCCTGTCCTGGGCTGGGCTCTTTTGGATCCCTGTGCCCTATTTAAGACAAAAATTGCCTAATGGAACATTTCTCAGAACATATTACTAAGTGACATGTGACTGTACCCACACACGCTCACACACACACACACACACATACATAGCTTTACTGAGATGTAATACATAAATACACACAGATGCACCTGAGAAGAGGGGAAAGTAATCGATTGGAGGGTTTTGAGTGGGAGAATGACATGACTTGATTTATGTGTTTAATAGATTATTCTGGCTCTTGTGTTGAGGATTGACCATGGAGAGTGTTGTCATGTAATAAACCACTCCAATAGTGGTTTAAAACAATCAAGTATTATTATTTCTGGCAGTTTTGTGGGTAACTAGGTACAGCTGCGTGGTTTTCACTCTGGGTCTCACGTGGTTTCTATCAGGTAATGGCTGGAGCTGGTGTCATCTGAAGACTTGAC